CGGGTAACGTTCTATTTCCAGAATTTTATTAAATAGGGCAACGATAGCGCTCAAACTTTTATCTCCCAGTAACTTTATATGCTCAATAACGATACCATCATGTCCTCCCGCTTTTCCATTGCTCATTTTCGATAGTGCGCTTTTCAGTTCTTTTGTATGTATTAAGTTTTCACATACACCGTCCAAATTATTGTGACTTTCTTTAAACATTTCCTTTACACTCGCGTGTACTTGCTGTCGATGATCTTCATCAAAATGCGGTTGCGTTAACGGTTTTGAGAGATTACTAAAGTGATCTCTCCACGCATTCCTAATAGTATCGCTATCGCGTAAAACATGACCGTCGATACGTAGCTCGTTTGAAGTTGATGTATCCCTTCGCTTTGCTCGCACAGCTTTATAAAATGTTCCCGAATCAATTTCAGCATACGTTTCTAGTTTGCGAAATTGTTCCTGTTCGTATTCATTTCTGGCCCGATCTAGTTCATTTCGAAATTTCCTTTTTGCATTTTTGTAATGTCTGTACGATTCGAATGCGTTACCGCGTGGACGTCCTGTTTCTATCCATTTACATCTTAAGTGCCTCATTTCCGCGTCTAGTAATTTGACAGTTCCATAGTTCCAATATGGCTTTAAATAATGTCTGTACTTTTTATAAGGAAGTGTTGACTCTGCAGCTTTTTCCAATGCTTGCACTATATCACAGGCACGCACATCAATTTCGGGTGAGTCGGACACATATATAGAGCCAAGTAACGATTCTGTAACTTGTTGATAGTTTCGGATATGTTCATCGTCTATTGCTTTCCAGTTAACAGAGCGAAGAGGCATATGGTCAGTACATCTTGCTAGTTCAGCGCGAATCACGATTTTAATTGGTAAGTGATCTGACACGTTCAAAAAATGGTCATCACATATCGTACATGAGTCGACTAGATCTATTTTTGAGTCACACAAAAAGTATATGGTCAATCATACTCGCGGCGTTGCCATCTCCTGAGAGGTAAGTATAGTTCCCGCCAGAGGACCAAGTCTGAGAATTGACAGAGGTGAGTTGTCTCTCTTGCATGAACTTCTCTAATATTTTTCCTTTACTGTTTGATTCGGTATGATTTTTATCACCAAACTGCTGGGAAATTTGAGCATTAAAATCACCCATAACAATTACAGTTCCCTCTTCAACGTATCGATCATACATATCGGATAAAATGTCGAGCGATTCAATATATTTAGCTGTAGACAAGTTTGATGAAGGCATAAGTACACCAAAGACGAAAACGTAGGAGTTAGCTGTTTTAATACGAACACCAATAATCCTGTCACTTCCATCATGCAGTAACGGTGAAACACGTAGTCGTTTATTCCACAGTATAGCTACTCCGCCGAAACCCCGACCATTTCTATTCTCTGGTTCCAGGGGTATCCTGTTATCATGTCTACCGAATACTTTAAAATTGGTATCGATTGTGTTCAGGAACCCGATTTGTTCAGGCATTAACCAATGTTCCACTATAACACAAATATCCAAGTGTTCTAATGTGTCACACAGATAAGGTGTACCGTACATGACACCACGCATGTTCCACGATTGAATTTTCATACTGACGGTCACCAGTAGAATAAGTATAGTTATTCTAATCGCAGCCATTACCGAAATCGTTCAAGCTAGCTGTGTAATCGCGTTCATATTGGTCATGCCTGTTTCTACTGCTGTAGCCATCGTATGCATTGTAAGTTTCGTTGTATCCTTTTGAATTGTCACTGTATTGGTTTCGCGAATCACGCCTTTCAGTGCGCTCGTACCAATCTCTAACAAGAACGCCTTCCGGCCAGAAGTGATTTTGTATTGCTGTTTCATAATCGCTTTCAAGAACGTGCAGACGTGCTGTATAGTTAGGATCGTCGGTATTCCAGAACTTCAAGATTTTAACATGTGTCACGTTTACACCGTATTGTTCTGCGTATGAGATAATCGAGTCTATCACTTCGTCATTTGAACCATTTCCCTTTATTCTTGACATCAGCAGTCTTTTTGTTCTTTGTTTCCGCGAAACGCCTTTAAAAATGTAGTTCGATCGTGTGGCGGTATCGTTCTGTGTTTGACGGGGTTTAGGTTTGCCATGTTTTATAGCTGCTGCATAAGAATCATATTCGAGGTGACCATGCGATTTGTCGGTGTATATTTCAGCGATAGTTGCCGGACGATCCCGAGTTTCTGAATTAGATTGAACTTTCCTATTGCCCCTCTGTGCTTGTTTCTGGTCCCTGTACTTGCGTTTGTCGGTTCCCGGTGTGTTTTGCTTAGTATTGACAGAGGTATCGGCATCTATCACAATAGCGTCAGTGTTCTCAGTATCGATCGACGACGTACGCTCAGTTGTTTCACGTAGAACAGTTGCACGAGCGTTGAGTTCATGTTCCAAGGTGGCTATACGCATATCTCTTTCTGCCATGCCCATTCGGAGTCCATTTATTTCCGTTTTAAGGTTACTAATCTCAACTCTAGAGTCTTGCAAGAGAAATTCAAGTCGATCTAACACTTCATTACGAAAGCCGATAATTAACTCAAACAGATCAGCTGTTACGTCATCTCTTAAGAATCTTTGCGCGAATTCCGCAGTATTGGCGGTACGAGCGGGCGTTCCCGTATTCATAGGGGCGGGCGTTCCCGTATTCATAGGGGCAATGTTAATGTCGTGCTGATGTGTACTATTTATACTCGTGTCGCGAGTTACCTTCGGTTCTACTTTATTATGTCTGTCTCTGTAGCACAGCACTCCTCGTATATCGCTGCTCTGACTATCTCCTTCGATATAGTGAAACAGAATAATCAACCAGTGTCACGCTTCCACCTTTCCTACGATTCACAAGCGTTCCTTTTGGAGTAGTAGGATATTTGCTCGCAGCCGTATCATACAATGCCTGACGTGCATTCAGTAAGTCGTCGATGTATCCATTATATATATTTCTTATTTTGTCTTTAAATGCCGATTTGTCTAGCGGTCCGGCAATTGTGCTGATATGTTCGTAAATGCCTCTGTCTATTTGGGTAGATGTCAAACTTACATCACTCGAATTAAGTACCGTTTTTAAATGGGTGATGCTGTCATCCAAGTTCTCATTCATACTGGCGTTTTCTGTCCGATTGTATAAATTGCCCTTTCTTCACTATGCGCCGCACTAATAGCGTATTAGCGGTCAGCCTATATTCACTATTGACGCGACAGAGCGTGACGAGCCGGCGACCGTGAGTTCTACTATATAGGTAAGTATACCTATACAGGTAAATGGAAATATATGCGTGTATATATATAATATAGGCATAACAGCCAATTACAATTGTCAAAATATAACGTCAAATATCACACATTCAGATGACCAACTTCACCTTTCACAGAACCTCTGTAATCCTTCACTACACCTTTCTCCACGGTATCATTCCAAACATTGTCCAAACTATGCAAACCGCAGTAATACGTCATTTTTTACGGCAACCGAACGCACAGATTTCTAAAACATCCGCCATTTCAAAAAAATTTGATAAGAAACACAGTATCGTTGAAATATCACTTAATTTAAATATGTGAGGACTTTCCACTCTACGCCTCTTTAATAGGTCAAAGGTGTCTGTCAGCGCTTTGATCAAGTTATCATGACCGATTCATATCACTTCCCGTCTGTAGTCGTGCGACATCCGTAAATTCTTTATTAATTCTTAAGAACCGGTTAATGAATTACTTTCAAACTTCGTAGAAATCGTTCTTAGTGGAAGCGGGTAACTATAGTTAACATTTAAAATAACAATTTTGATTACATTTCTCCGTTTTCATGGGGAAATAATTCAAACTTGGTTGGAATGATTATGTTGAGATAGCAATCTGATGGTATTAGTAATTAAGTAATGCTGCTGAAAGGCCCCAAAGGGAAAGTTGACTAAATTTCTTCTTCAACAGACTCAGTTTTACTATAATCAATTATTCTCCATGGGTAGATATTTTTAATTTTATTAGTTTATGTAGGGAAATGACACCTTCGACTATATTTGTTCATTCAACAAGACATAGTTCAATTGACAAACTTGGTTGAAATAAATATGATGAGGTAGCAATTAGATGATACCAGAAAGTAAGAAACTGACCCGGACTGGGGAGGGGTCCAAAAGGTTAATGACAAAAATATTTGATGTTTTTTCCGTTATTATTATATTATGATTATTTCCATTTCACGTCTCGACATTTAAAAAACAATATAATATGCTACGTTAAATGACTACCACATGCTATTAGGCAACGGTTGCTATTCATGTACCGATAGTACAGTACTCAGTCTCGCAGGGACCTGAACATATCTGACTAGGCCTATCAGCTTCGTTTGCCCACAGAGTGATTATGAGCGTTTTAGAGGTTTGCTCAACAGTCTCGGTTATTCAGGGCTATTATTGCAAGATATACGACAAAAGAAGCTTAAATCAAAGTCGCATACAGGGAAACAAGAGGTTTTTATGAGCTATCATTGCGACATTGAGAGTTTATCTAAACCCCTAAATCGTTTGACATTATCCTGTACGCACCAATTCAATATGACTATATTTCTCATGTCCCTGTGCTCGTACGGTATCACGTGACAATCCATAGTTATCGTAAATAAACCGGCACGTGATCATACTTAGACAAAATGGCGGAGGAGGATGTTGTAGTTCGAAGTTATGTACAAAACATATTATATCCGGGCCTCGGACTTTTTGTTGCGTATTTTATCTTTAAACGGCAGATTAGACATTGGCGATTACGTTTAGCAGCATGGATCATGACAAGAGTTGGTTGTAAGAGTAACAAAATATTTGGTGAACACAAAAAGGATTTGTTCCATTCCATGAAGAAACTAAAGGCCACAGTTGGGACATTAAAAGTTCTGGAGATCGGAGCAGGAGGAGGTGTTAACTTTAAGTTTTACCCTGCTGGGACCAAAGTCACCTGTCTTGATCCTAACCCGTGTTTTGAACCTTACGTGGAGAACAATGCCGTGGTCAGTGGTCTTGTCGACATGACAGGTTTCATCAAAGCTTTCGGGGAGAACATGTCTGATGTGGCCGACTGTAGCTATGACGTAGTGGTCAGCACACTGGTGTTGTGTACAGTTAGAGATCCAGACCGAGTCCTGAAGGAGGTCAAGCGAGTCCTCAAACACGTACGTTACCTGTGTCTGCCATCTGGCCGTGTAATATCCCATAAAATTAACTACGATATAATTCAGAGTATCTAATTGAACCATATACTTTCTCGATCGATTTTCTATGCTTTTATTTAAGCATAAATGCAATAAGTCTTATTACATGAATCACAGTTGTCTTGGTGTCATAGGAAAATATATAGAAAATGACCAGATTCCAGTCCCTGATGTCCATCACGTGCACAGAACCATTATGCAATGTACCAAAGGGTTCTAGATATTAATATATATATTTGTTTGCCTAGATGAAACCCTGACAACTGTGCATAAATTAAATAATACCTGTGATTGGTGTTAGAATTATCCAGCTAACATTATCAAAATGTCCAAAATTTCATTAAACAACATTCTTCAGTACCTTTCAAATGTATATATATTACCACCAAATATATGTATATATTGCCACCAATGTATCAATTCACCAAATACAAACACACCAGTATAAACGATTAAATAATATTTTATGTGTCACTTGAGTGATTGTACCCGTGTACGTGTAACAACTGATATATGTGTGCTGTTGAAATGAAACATTGCAAACACACTCAATGAACTGTTATAATTATTAAAACAATAACATTTTAACATCAAGCTGTTGCAGAGACGTATAATACAGAGATTGGCAACTTGCTCTTGGCCTTACCATTGGTCACTGGTATCGCAGGTTACGCTTCACCTGCGCCATATTGGATATATGGTTCGCTGCATTTAATAAACATGTCCTGTTCAAAACATAATTATGCCATGAGAAAACATTGTAAATCGACGTAATATTAAAACCGTAGCTAGCTGAGATTTCCATGCGGTTTTGGAGTGCTACACTGAATGAAAACTTGAATGATTAAGTTTAGAAAACACCAAACATCGAAAGATTGCACATCGTGGCTGTGTTTACATATCGGTAATTATTCTGGCTTCAGGAGAACACGAACTCCGTTTTTGTTTTTTAGACAATTTCAAAAAGGTTTTCAGAAATTAATTATTTGATAATATTTCTAACCAGGAAATTAAAATGAGGTTGTTACAATACCTGCAAAGATTGATAATTGAGCTCTGAAAATACACTTTAAAATACACTTACAAGTTAAAATGGCGGCTGTGATGTGCGAGGGTTAATTCCTTTCATGACACTGGCACTCCTTTCTCGTTCATCTTTTATTTCAAAAACGTATTCAGATATAACATTATATTTCTAACCAGCTTCTTTATATGATCCATATATCTAGGATATGTGACATGTTGACACAAACTAATGAATACACGATCAAATTCTCACACAGGTAACTCACTGACCAGACTATCGTCACCAGGATCGATAAGCTGTCAAAACAAACACTCATAGATCATGCATGGTTTTGTGAGATCAGCGTGAGTTGCCAATCTCTGTATTATACGTCTCTGGCTGTTGCAATACGATATTGATGTTTTACTTCAAGATTTTGACTGATGATGTTGCTTTTACTTTTTATTTTTATACACAGAATGGTAAATATTATTTCATGGACCATGTGTGTGCAGAGAAAAGAAGCATCATCTATTTCTTTCAACGTCTGATAAATCCAGCGTGGCGTGTGTTTGCTGATGGATGTGAAGTGACCAGGGACACTGGAGGTACCATAAAGGCAGCAGGCTTTAAGACCCTAGACATGAGATACTTCACAGCACCAACAAAGTTGTTCCTCATCAGACCCTGTTGTATGGGCATCGCAACCAAGGAGTAGTAAGAAAGGTGTATGGGACACAGGTATCTGTCAATATAGAATATATAGCTGCCAATACAACATAGAACTGTGGAACACAAGATCTTTAAGACACAGGCTTCTGTGTCTATAAGAATATAGTGCCCTGCCTATAGAACACAGGGCTTTGGGCACTCTGTAACAAATAGGGACCTCGTTTGTAAGAATACATTGCCCTGCCTATAGAACACACAGAGCTTTAAAATACTGGTAATTGTTTATATGACACAGGGGCCTGTGTCTATATAGAATACATTACCCTGCTTAAATAACACAGGTCTATAATACATATATGGTTCTATAATTGTAACACAGGGTCTTCTGCTGACTTTCTATTTAGATATTGTGATATTTGTAGGCATTTACAAAAAAAAACTGTTATTAAGACTTTCGTTTGATATTTACCCTAGGTATATATTAGTTTATGTTATCTGTCTTCAGGGACAGGTCAGGCATGTATTATATTGAGTTATTTTTAATATTGTATAAAACATAATGCATAATATATTAAACACTTTTCATTCTATAAAAAAAAACAAAGTTTTATGCATCCTGCACAATCAGGTCTATTTTAATATGGAAAAGTTTGGGATAAATGACATTGTGTTTGCTATTCTCTATTAAGTGGGGTTTTTCAACTCAGGAATTTATTAAGTAGAAATTTTAATGTTTATTGTACAATAGCACAGGATTTTTTTTTTTAAATATATGGGTTTTAAATATTATATCTGCCCATACATTCAGATTTTTTTATTTTTTTATTTGCTCAAAATAACTTTTTTAATGAAAAACAAAATCAAATGTTTAAGGGAGATAACTCCAACAGTCTTAGAGATCATAACTACCTGGTAGTAGTGTTACACTCTGGCTGAATTGATGTGAAACATTTATAATTATTATAAATAGCTTTTTTGTAACTGCATGCACAGTATCAATATTGTATTGCAGTCTTTTTGCTTATAATATAATACTTGTAGGCAAAGTTTAAATCATTGTTTTCTGAACCTTTTTAAAAATGAAAACGAAAACACACATCAAAAAATTCAACATGGATTGAACATGTATTTACAAAAGTCATCATGTTTTATTTTTAAATCAATATCTTTTATCCCCAATTAATTAAATTTTTACCATGATCATGAGTACACAATATTTTATGTGATTGTTACAATGTGTGTTAAAGTGATATATTATAGGTGCGTAATATACCATTTATATGGGAGTGTGATATTTTAGGGGAGCACAATATGTGAGCAGGTAATATTTTACCAGAAATTTATACATTTTTATGTCTGATTTAATTTGGGTGAGTATGATATATATTTTGTGTTATATATTTTATGAATGTGTTATATATTTTATGAATGTGTTATATATTTTATGAGAGTGTTATAAGTGTAATATATTTTATGAGAGTGTTAAATATCTTATGAGAGTGTTATATATTTTATGAGAGTGTTATATATTTTATGAGAGTGTTATACATTTTATGAGAGTTATACATTTTATGAGAGTGTTATATATTTTATGAGAGTGTTATACATTTTATGAGAGTGTTATATATTTTATGAGAGTGTTATACATTTTATGAGAGTGTTATATATTTTATGAGAGTGTTATACATTTTATGAGAGTGTTATATATTTTATGAGAGTGTTATACATTTTATGAGAGTGTTATATATTTTATGAGAGTGTTATACATTTTATGAGAGTGTTATATATTTTATGAGAGTGTTATACATTTTATGAGAGTGTTATATATTTTATGAGAGTGTTATACATTTTATGAGAGTGTTATATATTTTATGAGAGTGTTATACATTTTATGAGAGTGTTATATATTTTATGAGAGTGTTATACATTTTATGAGAGTGTTATATATTTTATGAGAGTGTTATACATTTTATGAGAGTGTTATATATTTTATGAGAGTGTTATACATTTTATGAGAGTGTTATATATTTTATGAGAGTGTTATACATTTTATGAGAGTGTTATATATTTTATGAGAGTGTTATACATTTTATGAGAGTGTTATATATTTTATGAGAGTGTTATACATTTTATGAGAGTGTTATATATTTTATGAGAGTGTTATACATTTTATGAGAGTGTTATATATTTTATGAGAGTGTTATACATTTTATGAGAGTGTTATATATTTTATGAGAGTGTTATACATTTTATGAGAGTGTTATATATTTTATGAGAGTGTTATACATTTTATGAGAGTGTTATATATTTTATGAGAGTGTTATATATTTTATGAGAGTGTTATATATTTTATGAGAGTGTTATATATTTTATGAGAGTGTTATACATTTTATGAGAGTGTTATACATTTTATGAGAGTGTTATACATTTTATGAGAGTGTTATACATTTTATGAGAGTGTTATACATTTTATGAGAGTGTTATACATTTTATGAGAGTGTTATACATTTTATGAGAGTGTTATACATTTTATGAGAGTGTTATACATTTTATGAGAGTGTTATACATTTTATGAGAGTGTTATACATTTTATGAGAGTGTTATACATTTTATGAGAGTGTTATACATTTTATGAGAGTGTTATACATTTTATGAGAGTGTTATACATTTTATGAGAGTGTTATACATTTTATGAGAGTGTTATACATTTTATGAGAGTGTTATACATTTTATGAGAGTGTTATACATTTTATGAGAGTGTTATACATTTTATGAGAGTGTTATACATTTTATGAGAGTGTTATACATTTTATGAGAGTGTTATACATTTTATGAGAGTGTTATAAGTGTTATATATTTTATGAGAGTGTTATACATTTTATGAGAGTGTTATACATTTTATGAGAGTGTTATATATTTTATGAGAGTGTTATATATTTTATGAGAGTGTTATATATTTTATGAGAGTGTTATAAGTGTTATATATTTTATGAGAGTGTTATATGTTTTATGAGAGTGTTATATTTTTTGTGAGAGAGTTATATATTTTACGAGAGTGTTATTTATTTTATGAGAGTGTTATATTTTATAAGAGAGTGTTAAATATTTTATGAGAGTGTTATATATTTTACGAGAGTGTTATATATTTTATGAGAGTGTTATATATTTTATGAGAGTGTTATACATTTTATGAGAATGTACTGTATACCAGGAAACTAGACTTGCAGTTTAAATCTCACCTTTTTCGTCGACGAGGACAAATTTACCATTACAGCAAACTTCTGTAAACAACCTAATATACATGTACATAGTAATTGAATGTAAAGGGCAAAATTACCAACAGGCAAATATGGATTATTCTGGCGAAGCGGGAAAGTTTGGCTGGGTGAAATTTCTGGTATACAGTGGTGTTGTTAAAAGAGTGTGCTATATTTGTTATATCCGTAAGACATATTATGGGAGTGTGATATTTTTTAAGGTAATTTTTAAAGTCCTACTTAATATTAAGGGAAAAAAAGGATCCTACTCGGGTACATCTTCCCACACGACTCTAGTTAGTACCTCTGTGTGTGTTTTTATGTGCTGTCTTTTTGTTCTACTTGTTATGGTTCTTTGTTTCTAACTGCTCATTTATAGCCATATCACGTATATAGTACAACTCAGAAACTCAGGATACCCACCAAAACCTTGTTATGGTTCTTTGTTTCTAACTGCTCATTTATAGCCATATCACTTATATAGTACAACTCAGAAACTCAGGATACCCACCAAAACCTTGTTATGGTTCTTTGTTTCTAACTGCTCATTTATAGCCATATCACTTATATAGTACAACTCAGAAACTCAGGATACCCACCAAAACCTTGTTATGGTTCTTTGTTTCTAACTGCTCATTTATAGTGCCATATCACTTATATAGTACAACTCAGAAACTCAGGATACCCACCAAAGCCTTGTTATAATCCTCACACGTCAGGAGTGAAAAAATCATTTGTCTAGCTGAAGGACACCAACACATATTACCATCCGAGAGAATCTAACCTACAATTTAACTATACCATCTTTGTCATGTTATGCATGACATTGAGTGGTACCTATACTTGCGTGTTTTCTATAAACACGTAAGATTTGTTTGTAATAGAGCTTAATGTTTGTAATAAGATATGTAAAAAAGTTTACATAAGACCTGTTTTTTGTAATGATAGTAAATCATTCCTTACTCTAAATCAATATTGACAGCATTGTTTTTATGAAAGGAAATACATTTACCCAGAAACTCATATGTGTGTGTATACATTTGTAATTTAAATTTGACATATTTTAAAATATAATTGTATAGTATTATTTCGTTTATACTTGCGAGAGGCAATTGTGAGAAAAGACAGTAAAACCGTAGAAAAGATGATATCTATAAAATATGAAATTTGACAAGAAAGATAACTTACTTTTCACTGATTAGTAGTTTACTAGTTTTCTCCATGTATCTGTTTGCTTGCAATTGGTAATCTCCCTGTATGTGTATTCTGGGTTATCTCTCCAAGTCTGTTTTGTAGGTTATTTCTCAAAGTCTGTATTCTGGGTTATCTCCCTGTATGCGTATTCTGGGTTATCTCTGCAAGTCTGTTTTCTGGGTTATCTCCCTGTATCTGTTTTCTGGGTTATCGCCCTGTATCTTTATTCTGGGTTATCTCCCTGTTTCTGTATTTTGGGTTATTTCTCTAAGTCTGTATTCTGCATTATCTCTCTAAGTCTGTATTGTGGGTTATTTCTCCAAGTCTGTATTCTGGGTAATCTTCCTGTATCTGTATTCTGGGTTATCTCTGCAAGTCTGTATTATGGGTTATCTCTCGAAATCTGTATTCTTGGTTATCTCGCCAAGTCTGTATTCTAGGTTATCTCTCCAAGTCTGTATTCTGGGTTATCTCTCCAAGTCTGTATTCTGAATTATCTCTCCAAGTCTGTATTCTGAGTTATCTCTCCAAGTCTGTATTCTAGGTTATCTCTGCAAGTCTGTATTCTGGGTTATCTCCCTGTATCTGAATTCCGGGTTATCTCTGCAAGTCTGTATTCTGGGTAATCACCCTGTATCTGTATTTTGGGTTATTTCTCCAAGTCTGTGTTCTGGATTATCTTTCCAGGTCTGTATTCTGGATTATCTCTCCAGGTCTGTATTCTGAGTTATCTCTCCAAGTCTGTATACTGAGTTATCTTTCCAAGTCTGTATTCTGGGTTCTCTAACCAAGTCTGTATTCTGAGTTATCTCTCCAAGTCTGTATTCTGAGTTATCTCTCCAAGTCTGTATTCTGGATTATCTCTCCAGGTCTGTATTCTGGGTTCTCTAACCAAGTCTGTATTCTGGGTTCTCTCACCAAGTTTGTATTCTGGGTTCTCTCACCAAGACTGTATTCTGGGTTATCTCTGTAAGCTAGGTTATTTCCTGTATCTGTAAGTTAGGTTATCTCCTGTATCTGTAAGCTAGGTTGTCTCCAGTATATGTAAGCTAGGTTATCTTCCTGTATCTGTAAGCTATGTTATCTTCCTGTATCTGTAAGCTAGGTAATCTCCTGTATCTGTAAGCTATGTTATCTTCCTGTATCTGTAAGCTAGGTTATCTCCTTGTATCTGTAAGCTAGGTTATCTTCCTGTATCTGTTTACTGTCTTTGAGCTGAGTTATCTCCCTGTATCGGTTTACTGTCTTTGAGTTGGGTTGTCTCCCTGTATCTGTAAGCTAGGTTATCTCCCTGTATCTGTATGTTTGGTTATCTATGTCCTCTTAAGCATGGCTA